ATAATTGAGCAATAGAATGAATGAAAGAGTCTAAACAAATCATTCTAAGTGAAGAGGGACTCAAATCAGGATTGTCAATAAATCAGGACGTTAATCTCCCCTCCCTATTTTAGTGAGAACGACGAAATCACCTACAATGATATAGTCGGTTCATCTCCACAATTTGGAGGAAAACAAGGCGTATAGCCGACACAGAAATGAAACCAAATACATAGGCACGAAGGCCATCCACCGCAATGATACACAGTCATAAATGAGTCAACGAATACAATACAAGGCCATCAATAATATACAAGGCCGACAATTAATTATACAAGGCTGCAAACAATAATACGTTCCCCGACAGCGAATTGCAAGCAAACATGTAGGGAATTCTAGGCTAATGCATTCAAGCATAAGTATAAGGAAGCACGATAAATATGTGATATCAGACAATAACACGAATCAAATGAGTAATCACATGAAATATAATTACGAGTCTCAATATGACATGAACATAACTATGAATCGGACGTGCATGTATAGTATAATAAATTCTTTTAAAATATCTATTATTATAATTACTCAAAATAAACCGTTTATTTTTAAACTAACCTTTAAAAATAATTAGCTTATTAATTTCAAAATAATCCTTTACAAAATAATTTCCTTTAAGTTATTCCTAATCTTTTAAAATCATAAATCTATTTATTTAAAAGTTCTTTTACAAAATAGTTTCTTAAAATATTTTCTCATTTTAATTAATTCTAAAACAATCTTTAAATGTTTATTTTTAATATTATTCTCCTAAAAATATTTTTTTTTTAAATATTTCTCACAATAATTATTCTAAAAATATTCTTTAAAAATATTCTTTTCTTTTTTAAAACAACACCTCATAATTAATATTGTTTATCAAACAATCCCACGCAGATATATCACAACGTACAACATAATCATAATACAGTCTAAACATGCATATAATTAATTCGCAGATCAAAAATTGAACTGACAAATCAAGAGAAGTAGGATTTTGCTGTTAGGTCTCATGTTATGAGCCTACATCTTCTAATCTTGTTTTGATGATTACAAACAATTCCTAATATTGTTTGTCTAGTGTTTATGTTTCTTATTAGGTATTCTAGACAAACAATGAGTTGGAGGTTGGATGGATTGAGCCTACACGATCACATCAAATGGAGGTTGGCGGAATATCGGTATGAAGTCATTGCACATCAAGCCATATTCAAGATCAAGCTTCATCTGCACGTTTACCAAGAAGAGCTTTCATGAAGATTAATCAAGCTTGGGTATATAGTTTATAATGTTTGTAGTTTAGGTTTTATATAATGTGTGTTAATTCTATAAGCTCAAATATACACACACATATATATTTGTGATTTTCTTAAATATAGGTGTTTTTATGAAAAATATGTTTTGGACTATATATACATCATAAACATATTTTATTATGTCCATATAAATATTTTACAAAGTTTCAAAACTTGGTTTATGTCAAAACATCAAAATTCAAGTATCTCATGTTTTCATGTTTTGGACATTTTTGTAAAATGACAAGTTTTCTTAAATGATAACTGAAATTCCAAAAATTCCTTTTGTAACATGTTCATTAACATATTTATAAACATTTCCCAAATTTTTATGTTTTTTGGAATTTATTTGTTATTTTTAAAAGCACTTTAAAAATCAGATTTTCAGCATTAATAGTGTCTGTGCATGTTTATAAGTCGACTTATAAACCCTGACAAGTCGACTTATGAACTCCTCTAGAAAGTGTATTTTATCCTCTGCTAAGTCGACTTATAAAGCATGGTAAGTCGACTTATAGCAAGTCTACTTATATAAGTCGACTTATAAAGTGTTGCACAGTTACGTATTTTTGACCAGTTTACAAAATAAATTATTTCTCTCAAATGGGAAGTTATATTTAATAAATTCTTTCTCTAACATATTCATATACATGTTTAGAAACTTCCCACAAAATTTTATAATTTTTGGAGTTGATTTACTATGTAAAATTGATTTTAGAAAATCGGGTGTTTCAGCAGTTTTTAGAATCTAAAATATCTGTGTTCAAATATTTATTTCTCACAAATGAGAAGTGATATTTCAGAAATTATTTTTGTAAAATATTTATTTACATGTTTAGAAACATCTCTCAAAATTTCATAATGTTTAGAGTTGATTTACTATTTTTAAATGATTTTACAAAACCAGATACGCAAAATTTCAGACTCTGCCGAAAACCTGTATTATCTGTTAAGTCGACTTGAAGTCGACTTATAGGCTGAAAATTTGGCTGTAACGGCTAGTTATAAGTCGACTTATCACTGTAGCAAGTCGACTTATGACTGTATAACGGCTAGTTTTCCAGACTCCTTGTTTTTCGGGTGTTTTGTCATTTTGCTGGGTTTTTCTTATGTTTTGGGGTCTCCTATATATACCCCCTTATACCCAACTCTATAATAATCTAAGAAGAGTTTTAAAAAGAGTTTATTAGTTTGTTTAAGTGTTTGTTTACAAAATTAGTTTTGTGAAGATTGTTTTACAAGAAGAGGAGATCAATTTCAATTTGGGCTTTCAATCTTCCATCTCCATCTCTCTTGTTCTAGAGTAGTTTTCTCAACTCTTTCATCTAGCTTGTTTACATTTACATTATTATATTTTGCTAGACTTTAATTGAGTTGATTTTATTTTCTCATTGCTTGCACACACAACCTTTGAGCTTAATTATTTTCACACATTATATAACTTGGGGTTGTGGTGAGTGTGACCTTGAGAGTGAGCTTAAATTGTGTTCTCACCTATTGTAGAGAACAATTTATTTGCTTTGTGCTTAATTGTGAGAGCTACACATTGTAATACACTTGTACACCGAGAGGAGTGTGTGGTGAGAGACGGGGTTGTCCCAAGAGGAGTGGGGTCGGTAGTAAAAGCCTAGAGAGAGGTAGTAAATCCGAGCACTTGAGGGAAACACGGACTAGAGACCAACACTTAGAGGGTGTAGAGTGTGAGTACAATTGTGTGTGTTGTAAAGTTTTCGGTGAACTAGAAAACCGAATTGTGAGGTGTAAACGTTGTTCGGGTGAGCGTAGAAAACCCGGTTGTGATAGTGGAGTTCTCCCCGTGAGTGGGGAGCGGAGACGTAGGACGGAAGGTCCGAACTCCGTGATCATATCATTGTGTTTGGATTGATCATTATGTCTACTATTTGTTTTCATTGTTTCTTGTTTATTTTCCCTTTGCATATATATCCTTGCATATATCACATTGAATATCAATATTGTTAGGATATATTTGTTAATTAATTTTAATCGGTATTAATATCTAATAAGATTAGCAATAACCCTATTCACCCCCCTCTAGGGTCTAACACTTGCCTCGGGGTTTTGTCGAACGAATCGACGCTGGCGCGCGAAGCTACGGCCCGCCTATGAGGTGACGGCGACGGATCTAAACAGCGACGAGGACTGCAGGGGCTGACCGTGGGGAGGAGTTGTAGCACAGATCTGGCGGCGTGGTTGGGTGCAGGTGGACGACACTCGATGGGCTCGAGGGGAACGACGTCGAAGGAGGAGAGCAGCAAGAGTGCGGGTGCAGCGTGGGGTTCAAGGCGGGCGGCGCGGGATGTGGGGTGGCGCTGGAGATTCGCCGGCTACGGGACAGGCTCGGGGAGGAGGCTGTGGGGTCGGGAGCTCGGGCAAAACAAGGGGCTGCGGGTTGGTGGAAGCGTGGCACAGGGATGGGAGAGCACGGCGGGGCGGTTCAGCGGCTTCGACGGAGGTGGCCCGAGGCGTGGTTGGAGGCAGGGGTGGCTGTGTCTGAGGGGAAGAGGGCTGGCCGCGAATCTGGGGGCAGCGATCGAGGAGGCGGGCGACGGGTGGAGCCTGGGGTCTCGAGTGGTCGGTGAGGTTGGAACGACTGACGAGGGCGGCGACGGGTTGACGAGGTGCTGTCGGGTTTGGGGCGGTGGGTCGGGCGGTGTAGGTAAGGACGATGGAGATAGGGAGAGAGAGAGTTTTCAGAGAGAGAGAAGAGAGAGAGAGAGAGAAAGAGAGAGAAGAGAGAAGATGAGAGAGAGAGAGAGAGAGAAGAGAAGATGACGTGGGGGATTTTTTAGATGAAAAAAAAGAGAGTGGGGGAAACACGAGGTGGGTGGGAGTGCGGGATTTAGGGAGTGATTTGGGGAAGTGGGGTAGGAGGAGAGAGTGTGAGGAAATAATAGAGGGGAGAGAGAGGAACAGATTGAAATACCGGTGAGAGGAAAAACGCAGAAAAAATACCCCTTTAAAAAAATAATCAAAATACTAGAAAATTTATTCAAATAAATATTAAAAGGTTATGGTCAAAATAATAATAACAGTAACAATAATGAATCATTAAATATTAATTAGTTTAAAAAGTTTTACCAAAATAATTAAATTTATAATTAGCAAAACCTTTAAAACAAATATAAAATCGGGTTTTTAAATCATAGACAATTCAAAAAAATCAAAAAAATACGAATACTCTTTTAAAAATAAATTTTAATATTTAAATACCAAAAAGTTTATTTAAACCTGTATTAAAAATTTACGGTCATTACATCTCAACATATGGGAACATGTTAGAATAAAAACCATAACCCTCAACCCTCATCACAACTTCGGAGTTTTGGTGTAGTGACAGGGACTTTAAGAGTAACAAGTAGGTTGAGTTCAAGTAACTAACTGAGCAATTTATACAAGTCCTTTCAAAAGCTTTAAAAAAGTGCGCATGAAGAAACGTATTACCATAGCTCCTGAAGTTTACTCATCTCATTAAGGGAATCAAACTTAAAACCAACCACATGAGAGGGTTTCATCTTATTAAGTAATTTCTATAAGTAATAAAATTAGTGAAGTCATATGAGCATAATTTTCCCATGCTTTCCCTAAGTAAACTTTAGGCTTTTTCATTCTTCAAATGCCCAGGTATGTTTTCTAACCCTTTTCCGATTTACTGCGTTATAAACCATGCAGATAGTGGAGGAGCTCGGAGGTTTTGTTACAGGTCATGGAAGTTCTTGTACACGTGATTACAGGGAAAGCAAGGAAAACTTTGAACTTTTGCGTAGCTTTATCCTCTGGGTTAGTATTATTTCCTACTATTCAAACTAAAACAAAATTTATGTTACGTATATTCTTTTGTTACTTGAATCCAAGAGTAGGCTACCGCACCAAATGTAATGAACACACAAACACAAGGGGGAAAAAAGAAAGTGGATGAAAGTTAGTGCAGGTACCTCTCCTTTTTTACGTTTCTGATCTCTAACTGTCTGACTGACTTTTTATAACTAGTAGTATGTGTTGCTACTTATATTATCAAATATTGTTGCCAAGTTTGCAAATACTTGTGAAGGTTTCTGTTTTCCTGTTTAGTTGGTAGTTTCGTCCTGTCACACTCTTCGCTTATGTCCATTGCTGATGGCATCCTTCACTTGGCTGCTTACATCCATCACTAACTACAACTTTTTCCAATCATGTTTCTCATGTTTAATTTTTTTTCTCGTGGGATTGTCTCACCCAATTGGCTGAAAGCAAGTTACAGGGAACACAAGTTTTTAGGTGAGCAGATAATTTAATATTGGTCACTGGTCATATATAAATATGTTTTTTAGACTTCAGACTAACGAGGAAAAAAAATCAGTTGTTATTCTCTCTTCTGTTTACTCATATTTTCACTAGCAATTTCTTTATAACCACTGAACCAGTGGACATAACTTTAACAGAAAAATCTGTCGATTTTCTTTAATTGTTCTTTCCTTTTTTTTTTTGAAGGTGAATCACCATTCATTCTAGAAGATGAAGATTATTTGCTCAAGTATAAGTTTGAACTGAGAGATGCAGTTGAGAGAGCGAAATTGAAACCACACTCGTTGTTCAAAGGATATAATATCCGTCTTGCTAAGCGTATCCAGCAGTCTGTGGATGTTCTTTCATCCATCAGTAAAGCAACTGGTGGCAAGGTAAGCATTATTATCTCTGTAGCATCATCTTGGCTGGTTCCATATATTTATTCTCTACGGTTGTGTGTAGACTTTACTGTAGATGATACTTTTAATGCTGCATTTGGGTGATCTGTTCATTTGTTTAATTTATAATTAAATACAAGTTAATATTAACAGGAGAAAACATCAAAATTGTCAAAATTAGACAGTTGATGATGCTTCTATTTTGTCTCTTGCTGTTGTGTAGAATTGCTCACTCAGTCTTTGTTGGAGCAACAAGGGTCACATTTGTTTCTATGGTCTGCAACTTTCTTTGTAGGCTGAATGTTGGACTTCATTGCAATGTATGCGTGGAGTCTTCTGGCAAATCACCAATGGAAAATTGTTTACGTGTATCAGTGGAACTAAATAAAGATGCTAAGCATTTATAATCTAGCACAGCGGGGAAAATCCTTAAGCAGGGAGGAAACATCATATGAAAGGGCTATAAGATGTTAGTATGGACAATTTGAAATTTCCACTAACAGAAGCATAGTCTTCTTCAGATAAACACTGGAACAACTACCACTGCATTGGCTTCTGCAGTTAATGTTCACAATATGGAGCTCTGCAAAAGTTATCAGGTTATAAGTCCTGCCATTTAGGTATCCTGGCACTCGGCTCAATTTTCAGTGCATCAAGTGATACACACAGTCTTCACCATTACCTGGACTTGACATTTCTTAATTTGGTTCACCAACACAGTAATCAAAACAAAGGATAAATTACACTAAACCCCCAATAAACAAAGGATAAATTACACTAAACCCCTACTAATTTCTTTGGAGTAAATTACACTAAGCCCACAGTAACTTTGAAAATGTCTTTTATAATTTATGGGTGTTATCTGCAAAGTGCAAAAAACTCATTGGGGCCTTTTTGCGAAACGTAAAAGTTATTGGTGGTATTTGTGTGATTTTGGAAGTTATTGGGGGTTTACTGTAAATTCCTCAAAGTTCTCGGGGGTTTAATGTAGTTTATCCCAAAACCAAAGCCACTAACACTTCTAATTAACCAAAGGGAATCTGACTTAAAGTGTGAATTACTAATTTGCAAGGTAGCTGCAAAGAAAGGTGTATGGACATTTAGCAATGACTGGTTTATGAGCCGTGTTATGAGACAAGAGCTTGATGTGGAGGCTCCTCAGTTTGCAGAGTCCCTTTAGCTGCAGATTTATGTAAACCATAACGTTTATTGGTGGTTCATGCTCATAATTTTGGATAAATAAATACAGGTTAATTATCATATTTACTTGTATGTAATAGAACTGAACAATATGCTGCTTTTTTAAATAAGATCATTTGATATCCTGAGGTTTTCATGTCTTGCTTCACTTTTACGCTCTCATTTCGTCGGGGCTTTTACCAACTCCGTGAAAGTAGAGGGCTTATAGATCAATGACTTTCACAAATGAGTTTTATATTCAGTTTTAAAAGCTAGCTCATGTGGAAATCATAAACTTAGCTGAGAGCCATAACCATAGTTGTAGCTTTCATTTCGACATTGAAGATGGAAAGGCAACTTTTATAACAAAAAAAAGGTGGGGGGGAGGGGTTTCATCATAAAGTGAGTCAACTCTACTGATACAAGGAAAATTCTAGTGCTTAAGTTTTCTTGCATTGATAAATGTTCAAACATTCTTGCATTTGTTCATCAGGATCAACAAATGACTGTAACGTTGATATTTCTAAATGGTTTTTATATGTTTAACTTCTGTACAAGTTAATCCTGACGTATTTCACTTTTATATAGCTTTTTTTAAAGAAAATTTTATCCTAATATATTTTTCTTATATATTGCAGTTTTTTGCAATAACTCTAATATATTCCTTTACCATAAAACAGTTTTGAAACTGGTAGCATATTTCGCTTGTATTTAGTGTTATATTTTACTAGACATAAAATTACTTGATTATAGACATTTCTAGAGAGTATAGCAGCGATTCCTCGAGCATAGCTATTTTCACTTGACTATAGGGAAACTAGTAACTACCTTTAAGGAGATTAGATGTTGAACATCTAGAAATTTTGAAATTCTAGATACAACCAAATTCTCATACAGTCCCTTTGCCAAACTCTTAAAGCTCCTCTTTATTTAAATCTCTTCAAATCCAGGCACATCCCGTGATTTCTACTGAAAATAAGCAATGATGCTTATGTTAAGTATTAATTATATTGTATACTCATGTTCATGTCTCTCTCCTAATCTAAGTTGCGTTCATAATGACATTTTCCTCGAGCTGATCAACTAAGTACTGTGAACCTTACTGTTCCCTGAATTTTGCTCACATGCATGCATGCTTTCGGTTGTTTATGATTATTTTGTAAATGGCTCTCACATGCTCAAGCTATTAGGGGAGTGACTAAAAGGCTATATATCCATACAATTATAGTTGCATAATGTAGCATATGATTAGCATGCCAAACAACCTAGAGTTAGCATAATTACTTTTGTGGACTCAATTTTAAAGAAATTTAGTTTTCATTATCTTATGATTCCAACATTACATCTCAATGTAACGAAAACTGTTGGGGAATTCAAGCTATTCGACCACCTGTCAAATATGAACCCTCGTGCGGAATTTGCCCTACCGGATCTTGTGTTAAGACAATAGAAAGAAGAAATCACAGCAAATTGAAAATTGCAAGAAAATGAGAACATCGAGTTTTAACGAGGTTCGACAATTTGCCTACGTCCTCGGGAGCCACACAAATAATTTCCTTTAATATTAAAGAAGATTACAAGCTTGGAAAGAGAGGATCTCAAACTTGAGATCTCTCAAAAGAGAAGCAACAGAGACTATTTGTTCTTCTTAAAGGCGTGAGATTTTCCAACTTGAAAAATCTCTTCTCTTCTAAAAAAACAACTACTGAAACTCTAAGATTTTCCTCTGAAAAACTCCGCTCAAAGTTGCTGTGGAGAAGACGCTCTCAGCCGCCGCCAAGATCTCTTAAAATTGCCTCGAGAATCACCTCACAATTTCTCGTGCACAAGGTTCCCTTTTATAGGGAAACCATAGTGCCAGCTAGCGACAGGCTGTCGCTAGCCTCCGCCTGCAACCAATGTCGACCCCGCCTGCGTGGGGGGGGGGGGGGTGCTCAGCTCGCCTGAAGAGTCGCCCGCTCGAGCTCGCCTGTTAGCTTTGAGCTCGCTTGCGGAGGAAGCCGCTCGACCTCGCCTGTTAGCTTCGAGCTCGCATGCGCCTTCCTTGAGCTCGCCTGCATGCTCGTTCGACCTCGCCTGCAACGTCACGAGCTCGCCTGAATCGCCGAAGCACGCCCGCTTGCCTTTCCCTCATGGGTCAAACCCGTAGCCGGTTTGGGCTACACAGCATCAACAATCTCCCACTTGGAGACCAAACCGCCGCCTGCAAGCTATCTCAACAAGTATCTTCTCTTGTGTGGCTCCGCCCTCATCTCTTATGTATGAAGGCTAACTGAAGTTGCGCACAACTCTAGTTTTTAAATGGTGACGACTTTAGTCAACATATATGCAGGATTTTGGCTCCCCAAAATCTTCTCTAACTGTAACTTCCCGTCCTCAATCATCGAGCGTATGAAGTGGTAACGTAACTCAATGTGCTTCATTCTGACATGAAATACTGGATTCTTGGTAAGGTGTATAGCACTCTGGCTATCACAATAAAAAACTTCGTTCCCCCGCTTCAGACCCAACTCTTCCAGACACCCAGCTAACCAAATCATCTCCTTACTCGCCTCAGTCGCTGCGACATACTCTGTCTTAGTTGTGGACAACGTCACAATCTTCTGCAAACGTGAGACCCAACTCACTGCTATCGACCCTAAGGTATAAACATATCCCATGGTGCTTCGCCTTGTATCATGATCACCGGTAACATCTGCATCCACATATCCTTGCAGTACTAGCTCCTTTCTCCTGAAATACAGTGGCTTATTTGTAGTCCCTCTCAGATATCGTAATAACCACTTCACGACCTCCCAATGTTGTTTCCCTGGGTTGCTTGCAAACTTGCTCAAAACTCCTACTGCATGGGCAATGTCCAGCCTCGTGCAAACCATTACGTACATCAGACTACCAATAACTGATGAATAAGACACCTTTCTCATGTGCTCCTTCTCTGCATCAGTCTTGGGCAATTGTTCTCCAGATAACTTGAACTGGCTTTCAAGGGGTGTGCTAACGACCTTAGCATTCTGCATGTTGAATATCTGAAGTACTTTCTCAATGTATTCAGACTGACTCAACTTCAACGTCCCCTCGGACACATCTCGGTTGATCCGCATCCTAAGAATTTGCCTCGCTGCACCCAGATCCTTCATGGCAAACTTCATTGCTAACTACTTCTTCAGCTTGTTTATCTCCTGTAAACACGGTCATGCGACTAACATATCATCAACATACAGTAATAGCACGATATAGCTGGACTCGAACCTCTTGAAGTAACATCAATGATTTGAATTGCATCTGCCATAGCCATTACTCTGCATGAAGTTATCGAACTTCTTATACCACTGTCTTGAGGTTTGTTTCAATCCATATAAGCTCTTCTTAAGCCTACATATCATCTCTTCCTTTTCTTTCTCAATGAAACCAACATGTTGCTTCATGTAGATTTCTTCATCCAAATCACCATGAAGAAAGACAATCTTCACATCTAACTGCTCAAGGTAGAGATTTTCAGCAGCTACCAAGCTCAACACCACCCTGATGGTTGTGAGCTTCATAACGGGGGGAAATATCTCCATATAATTCACTTCTTCCCGCTGTTGGAAACCCTTCACGACTAATCTGGCATTGTGTCTTATCCTTCCATCACTCTCCTACTTGATCCGGTAGACCCACTTGTTATGTAAGACTTTCTTCTATGCAGGTAGTGGGCCTAACTCCCATGTCTCGTTAGAATGGAGAGAATCAATCTCTTCTTACATTGCATGCTCCCACTGTTGAGATTCTCTCACTTGCATAGCCTCCTCATAGCATTCTGGTTCTCTGCTATCTGTCAAAAGTAGGTAGTCTAGTGACGAGAGATACATAAAATTCGATGTAGGTACCCTGGATGACCGTCTAAGCTCCTCGCCCTGGGTAGTTGGTTTTGCACCTGGAGCCTCCTCCGTTCTTTGGTCAGAATTAACATTGTTTCTCCATCTGGAAGTTCCTCCAAATCCATGTACTCGGATACGCCCGCATCCGTAGTGCTGTAGGCTGTCTAAAAATCACAATGGATAGCTGATCCAAACAAGTCCTGACAATAGGAGTTACAAT